TATAAGTACTGCATTGTATTTTGCAAACCTCACAAATGTGACTGTGATGGCTGTGATATAGATTATTAAGGCCATAAAAATGTTAATCCTCCTTAAACAGCTATAACACTATAAATATTATTGAACATTATCTCCAGTCACAACTGAGAATGGAGTTAGACAAGTAACAAGATAAAATCATCTTGTAAACTTTATATTAAACTAAACTATCCTGGGAGAGCTGGCAGGCTCCCCAAAAGAAACAATCCATCATCTGCTTCAGATGATAATATTATTTGTATTTCCACTCTTTACACTCCTAATCCCGTTATTGCTCACTGCAATCTTACCACGGCTAAAATAAAAGGCTGAAGAGAGAGGCACATCTTTGGTCCTTCATTAGTAACAGAAATGCCCTCATTTATAGGTATTTTTGTGCACATCAGTGCTTTTAGACTAAAAGTATACCCTCATCTTTGAAAACATCAGCTTAAACTTAGGGGGGCATAATTCTGTTCATAAAAGCATAGTACACTATATAGTTACCAGGGCACTAAAAATGCAATCAGTTGTTGCTAATCTGAGATATGATCACAGTGGAGATGCTCTGCGTGGACTTTGTGAAGCTCCTGGAAAGTTTGAAAAGTGTTCTGAAGTTTGAAAACAAATAAGTAAATCTGAAAAAAAGAATTAGTTCTGCATATCAGCTGGTGCAATATTTTGTTCAGCATGACAACTTTAACATGTCATCATCCACTAGCAGAGGATACCAGTAGTAATATTCATAAGAAACCAAGAAAAATAATTTCATTGCTCTGTGACCCAAGCCCACATCCATCACTGAGGTCTTCTACTGATTTAAATAGGCACTGAATAATTCTAAAGATCTGAGGAATCCAGATAAACAGCAGCAAAGATGGCCCCAGAGGAAAGACACAGCTCTGCATGATTATTAACAGCGACATAGGTGTACACCCCGTCCTCTGTGCCACAGTCACAAAAATTCCCTCCTTGTCAAGAGTGGCAATTTTGGCACATACAAGCAGCTGAAGGACTTGTGACCTCTCGGCCCTCCAGCTTGATGCATGTTCTGAACACTGCCTCCAGTCTTGTCAGTCTCGTGAATGCTGCATTTATACATGATTGACTCCCAAATGGTATAAAATAGTGCTTAGTGTTATTTCTACAAGAAGCCTTCCTAATATTGAAGCCTTTTTTTGTTAGATGTTACAAAAATACAGGAGTTCTCAGCAGGGAGTCTCCATGCAGACACATCAGATGTGGCTGGCAAAAGTAAAAAACACAATGAAAGCCAAGGGATAAAGTACCAAACTTACCAAAAAATACTGCAGTAATTTTTCTCCCTTTGAAAAGTGTTTTGCTTGTGTCCACCTTTGAGAAAATCATCTACATTTCTTTAGCTTGGGGGAAAAAAAAAGAAAACTATACAACCCCCCACTCCCTGTTAAAGTCAGCGCTGTTAAAACCTCTTTGAGGGTTTGAATAGTAAAAGAGTCTTCATGGTGTCTGCAGCATTTTACATAAAACGCTGTACTTTGACGTCCTCTATGTCCCAGCTTCTTAAATATGAACTAAGATATTTTCACATGTTCTGTTCTTTCACTAAAATGAACTCCTCTGTCATTAGGTAACTCAGACAGAAGACATACAGATTACTGATCTACTGACCCTCCTTCGGCTTGGAGTCATCCAGGAGTAATAAAATAAACCATTAAAAGAAGAGGTAATTTAAGGTAATTTAACAGTGACATGTATTGCTACGTAAGATATATAAACAACAACACAAAATAGAAAATGAAAATAATTGGGGATCTTGAAGGTCAGCTGTCACTCAGGACTAGATTAAGTAACGATGACTCAAAGCCAAACTGCACCGTACATTCAAATCATTAAAGTACAAGGGATAAAAAAGAAAAAAAACCAAAACTGAGCTAGCAATAAGTTATCATGTTTAATTAGGGAGTAAAATGCATGACAGGAGCAAGGTGACATTCATGGAAGAAAACATGTTGATGGGAGGCGCAAAACCATTGGCACGGATGAGTTCCAGAGTGACACGGCAAGGCTGTGAGGATTATAGAAACCTACTTGCACTTGCAATGAACTCTGCTCTACGGCGAGGCAGATGCACTAGTCCTTATGAGGGAAACCATTAAAAAAGTAGGGCAGCATTTTCATCGGAGAGAAACGAGTTAAAATAATCCTTTTTGGGGACGTTTTCATTAAAACGGTTTGCCCCTTTTTATAATTCAAGGCAAGATACATGTTTCTTTTCAAAGTTTATCTTACTAGTTCTGAATACTCTAGCTTTCTCAGTGGTAAGTAATTAGAACACGTTAAAAAGCAACAAATTGTCCCGATGTTACGAGTCAAGAAAAAGTTTTTCTTTCAGATCCGTAAGGCCAATCTGTGCTTCCAGCAAAAAAGTACCTTCTCTCTGTCTTTCAAAGCAGAAATGTTCCCTTTCTGATGCTGTGGGGTCCAAAGGATGAAGCCCCCTGACAGCTACATATTCCAAGGAGATTTCATTGTAGAGCACCATCAGAAATAATTTACCAGCTGAAGTCATATACTAAAAATTAGTAATGGAAAGTGGCAATTTGGCCCATTTTCTGTATTTTCCTAATAATGCTCTCAAATTCTGGGGGCAGACTAAAATTTGCCATCCTTCAGACCTGAGATAAGCCTGTTTCTAATATTCTGTGCAAAGCTGTTATATAAACCCACTGATGGAAATGTCATCTTCTTGCATCCCAGAGTTAGCCCACCCACTTTATTCCAGAAACCCAGGTGGGTAAAGCCTCGACAAGGAGAAAGGCACCTGTCAGGGGGATGCACTAGCATCTTCTTGTACACACGGAGTCATGGAATTAGAATCATAGAATAGTTTGGGTTGGAAAGGACCTTTAAAAGTCATCTAGTCCAACCCCCTTGCAAAAAGCAGGGACAGCTTTAACTAGAGCAGGTTGCTCTGAGCCTACAGTCTACCCCTCCACCACACCCGCAGGGAACTGGATCCAAGGGAACTGTCACACCACCAGCACAGGGATTATTTTGAAGAGGAGAGGCTGCTTGGGGAGGTGGGGGGACACCCTCTTCACTGTCACTACTGAAACTGCTCTGTACTGCTGCTGGAGCAGGGTGTAACGCGCAGCATCAGACCGCACAGGCGCTCAGGAAGAGATCATGTTTTCCCTTCCCCGTTTCCCTGGGCTGCTTCTGATTCAATATTGACAAAATTGGATAAAAGTTGCCCTGGGAGCTAGAATCGGCACCAGATGCCTGCACCTCTTGCATCTGGACATCACAGGCTGGTGCAAAAGCACAGATCCAGAAAGTTTAACATGCTCTACTAGCCTCAAAATTTGAGTAGTAACTAGAAAACGCCAAAATCTAAATTCAGGTTGGGATATTTCATCACTGCACTACCAGAAGCAATTTCCTTCATTTTAATTTGGGAACATGATTTTATTCTGGGCAAATTTATCTAACCAGCAGGGCTAGAACAATGGTTAACTCCAGGCAACGTATGATTGCTTTAGTAGAGAAATGATAACATACTCACCTTTGACATCAAGCCATTAGTAGGCTGAACCTGGTTATGGTCATGAGTTTTCTGTTTTTCAAACTTCCCTAAGCCACAGACACAATACCCTTTTCTGAGGACAGCTGTAAAGGGACGTTACACTGAGATTTCATATCAACAGCAAAGAAAACACTCCGGTAGATGTCAATCTTCAGTGACAAGTAGTTGAAAAGATAATCCAAAACGATGATATAACCAATTAGTAGCAAAGACTATACACACAACACGTTGCTCGCAGACAAAACCAGACTGCAGTAGATGCAACCACAAAGGGATTTCAGTCACATGCCTCCTGGACTTCTTCAACCCTGTATCCCAAGGGGAGGTAAGACAATCCCCAAACCAGTATTAGGGGCTTGACTTCCAAAGAGGCTCAGTCCAAAGTGCATAACCTTCACAAATCCCAGCATCTGCTTAAATAACTTGGCCTGAAGCATGCTGACTAGTGCAGATCCTACTTTTCCCCCATAGATCACATAGGGGCCTCCAGTGATCCCAGTGATCCCAATCCCAGCTAGGCAGGATGGGGGAAGGCCCCAGGTCAAGAGCGTTAGGAGGGCATGCTACTGAATCCACATCTACAATTTGATTTAAAACTGCTCAGCTCATGGCATGGGCATTTTTAAAGAGTAAATGAATTCAAATCTTGTTCCTTTTGTGAGCCAAAACTTGAACTCAATATTGGTATTGCTTTTACTACTACTCGTTTGTCTTGGAAATAAGATTGCTTTTAATTTCTGAACTGAAAGCTTACAAAGGTTTCTAAATAATATACGCCACTTGATGTAAATGTTTCAACAGCAACAGAGCTTAAAATACTATTTTAAAATTTTTAAAGGCTGCTGTAAGATGTTTTGTAGAGTCAAAGCACTTACAGTATATTTAAGCTCCGGTTAATAAGTAAATAACTAAAAAAATACATCAACAGCATTTTTTTCTTCTCTTGGTTTCAATAAGTTCTCTAATGTCCATACTTAGAAATGCTGATTATTAACATAATTTTCAAACATAATTATTGTCTTTAGATACATCCAGCTCCTAATTCTATCACCAAACTATTTTCATTAATAGTCTCTTTAAAAAGTAAGTTCAAGTACAGGATTAAGTTTTAATAGCTTGTAGGTATGTATACTTGATATTCTTAGCTGCAGAGAGGGATAGCACTAGTTATAATACTAAAGAAAAATAGGCATAAATCTAGCTGTAAGTACTGCCATATAAAAGAGTTCATTTAAGTCAGTCATTCCTATGAGCCTTGCTTTTACTCCAAAATTGTAGTTTATATACAGACTATTTTGCTTTTAAAATAATAGGGTTTAGCTGTTAGTCATTCTAACCATTCAAACAGAAATGTTAAAGTTTGAATACTTGTTGTAAAACTTTCAGGGTGATAAATGAAAGATAATAACCCCTTGATCAATGTAAATTTTATTTATTCATCTGGGAACACGGCAAGGATATCATAGGTAACAATGCCGCCTAGGAGAACATGGATTTCACATAAACTCATTTTGGCAGAAACACACATTTAAATAATCACCCAAATCACCCCCTTACTATTTCTATTAAAAAAAGAAAAAAGAGGAAAAAAAGAAAACCCAACAAAAACAAAAAAAAAAGAGAGAAAAAGAAACATAAGATCTGAACAAATGAACAGCCTAGAATTTTTTTCTATTTAATGTCTATTCCAGCCACATCTGTCCCTGATTTCAGTAGTAATACTTAGCACTGACAGTGGCACCTTTCATTTGCAAATACGCTGTAAACATGAACTGACCGTAATTATACCACAATACCTCACCACAGCTAATCAACGCAACTGCCTGGTCCTCTCAGCCCGGGGAAGTGCTGAACTGAGTTTGTGCTGCCAGCTGCCTGTATGACAGTGTTTACATCCTGCAAAGTGCTACACATAGAAGTGAGTTTAGCATGAAGTGACTGACCAAACTGTAGCGGAAAATCAAGCAGGTTTTTCCATTCAGTGCTAATATTTTGTTGTATAATCCAAGAAGAACTGACCAGGACAGGATGCAATTTAATGTAAACCATTTGGAGTGAAAGGTGTTATTTTGCCTAGTGAAATCTCCCCCTCGCAGTCCAGCTCACAGACAGAGTCAGTGGCAATCTCATGGTCAGGGGAGATCTGGGACATCCTATCAAAAGGGTCCTCGCGATTTTCCTCACAGTCAACCACATTTGGGATCATGTTAACATAAGCAGTCACTATCTCCTTATGGAAAAGGGTGTCCTGGTTGTAAGAAATAAGCTCATTGCTTATATTAACGGTCTCCACTGGAGTACTAGAGCAAAACTGACCGCATCCCAGGAGGTTGGAGAAGACCTTTCTAAAGTCAGCATTGAAGGCATAGATGATGGGGTTGAGAGAGGAGTTGGCCCAACCAAACCAGACAAAGATATTAAAGGTGGTCTCACTGACGCAGGGAAGGCCAGCATGGGGGTCACTGGGTGGGCTCTCGCAGAAGGGAACCATGCAGTTCAAGATGAAGAAGGGCAACCAGCAGCAGACGAAGACGCCCATGATGATGGAGAGAGTCTTCAACACCTTGGTCTCTTTCCTAATGGAGGACTTGAGGCTTGTGTGATGGTGGCAGTCAACATGGCTGCTCCGGCAGCTCTGCGCATGCTCGGCTGCCCTCTCCAGGGAAGAGATACGACGAATCTGCACCTGGGCAATGCGGTAGATTCGAGTGTAGGTAACTATCATGATAGCCACTGGGATATAAAAACTGATCAAGGAGGAGGAAATAGCGTAAGTCCTGTTGAGGCTGGAGTCACAGCTCTCTGACGGTCCAGTGAAGGTGTCATTGCTGCCAGAGGTCCCATCAGAGGGTCTCACTGCTGCTAATGCCACCCACGTGGTGCTCATATCTTCTGCCCACGTGGTGACAGCACTTGCTGCTGCCCAGCCAGTGCCAAATCCACCTCCAATATCACCAGCACCAACAACATTCCCACCTTTGTGCCAGTTGAGCTGCACAGGGATGAAGGAGATGAGCACAGACAAAGCCCATGCCACACTGATCATCACCAGAGCCAACCGTTGGGTCATCTTCCTCTCATAGCGGAAAGGGCTGGAAATAGCCCAGTACCTGTCCACACTAATCACGCATAGGTTCAGGATGGAAGCCGTGGAGCACATGATATCAAAGGCCACCCAGACATTGCAGAAAGCCCCAAAGGGCCAGTACCCGGCCACCTCAGCCACCGCCTTCCAGGGCATGACCAGCAAAGCCACCAGCAGATCCGAGACAGCCAGGGACACAATGAAGATGTTGGTGACCTTGCTCCTCAGAT